TTTTCCATTTTACCGTAAAAGGTTTTGTTAACTTCTTTTAAGCACCAAAATTATTTAGAAAGGGACGTCCTCTTACGGTGCGCATTGTTATTAAAAGACAATATATGTTGATACCATCTAGTTTTAAAGGAATTCATGGTACTGCCGATATAAATTTTTAAATTGCTGGATTTTCACTAGATGAAATAGTACTTAGGTAAACAAACGAAATACAATAATAAAAATATAATATTTTGCTCTACTTTTATCGAGCACTTTTTAAAAAGTAAATACTACGAACTGTGGATTTTTACTCTATCTGTTAATTCTCTCATTTGAATATACATATATATATATATATATATATATATATATATATATATATATATATAGAGAGAGAGAGAGAGAGAGAGATAACAAAAAGAAACCAACCTATTATATGAGCGTGAAAAAACAACCCTATCATCTAAGCCTGCCAAAGGAAAAAAATTCAAAAGACAAAGAAAAAGAAAGCCCATGACAAAAAACACAAGAAAAAGGACGAAAATAAAGAAGACACTTACCTACACAAAAGTGCTCAACACGTCTTGAATGTAGACGAAGACAGAGCAGTAATACTAACAAACCACTATAAATTAGACTAAGACATAGATTATAATCATCTAACGATCGTATAATCTAAAATTACGTTTCGTTGGTTAGTACATATATATATATATATATATATATATATATATATATATATATATATACAACAATTGTTTTAGGATATCTGAATGATCTATGATATTCATACACACACGCACACACATATATATTTAGACAGCATATCTTTATTCAAGCATGTTTGGTTGAATAATATTGACTTATGTTCATTTATTTTTATTTTAATCCCTTCAAATTAACGCATCAGTTTGTTCATACTGCTAAAAAACTGGGTAAGAAAGTCGCCGTAGTGTTGGTTATTTCTTTTATTTTCACAAGTACTTTAAATCTCATCAAAGATAATCTTCAGGGGTGAACTGCCAAGACAAAAAACTTAATGCAATTGATAGTAGTTAATCCTTTGGTAAATGCGTATGAAACGCTCTACGTTCTAATCAGTTTACGTTAAAAATATGTAAGGGAGGTAACTTAGTTTAATTTTTTATTATTAATCTTTTAAAAATACTCAACCTGCAATTTAAAAAAATGTAAAAAGTTTTTTAAACAATTTGAGCATTCCAAAATATTGCTTTTATAAACATTTTAAAACATTGTTGCTATACTTATAATTAATTTTATTTAGTGACGGTATTAATTTTATATAGGTGCTCCGAGAATTTGAAGTTTTGCTTTTTTATTTCCACGCTGGAGTATACTTGTATTGTCAATTAATGTTTCTCTAAAACATGAATGTGAACAGAAATTGTCTTTCACATGTTGTGCAATAGAACTTGAATCTGACACGTGTAAGTAAGTCTTCTTGATATATATATATATATATATATATATATATATATATATGACATGGGATCTAATACCTATCAAATATGGATCGTGATCCGATAGAATTATAAAAATAAAAATATATGGGAAACATTTATGAATTTAATATGTTTCACTTTCATTAAAACTTCATCAGAGAATTAATCGTAAACCCACAAACAAAATCGATCTAAGTAGTTTCTATTCCCACCACAATAAAAAAAATAAAATCAGGATTAGTCAAAGGTTTCTACTTCAGAGATCTTAGGATGTGTCGCCCAGAATACCGTGGTGAAACGGATGAACACAATGAGAAAACATTTAGACTTTTCACTATCCACATCATGTCTTCCCTAACGTTATAAAACAAGCTTACACAATCCATAAATCTAAAATAAAAACTTAGAAACAATCAACAACACAAAATTCATAATCCTACCCAATTTCTACAAAATCTGCAATAAACTAGTTATCCCTAATACTTTTCGTTTACACTGTAGAAACTTTTAAATGTAGACGTCTCTTCTACTCCAGTAGCTTCATACCTCGCACCTCTCGCCTGTGGAACACCCTTCCCTATTACTGTTTCCCTGAGAGCTATAATCTCCAACTATTCAAATGTAATGTCAATCGACATCTCCAATTACCTTGATCTACCCACTATCCCTCTCCTCATCCTTTCTTCTATCACTCCTATCTGCTTTTGCTACAAATCTTCTGTAACCCCCTGCATCCTAGTGGCTTCACGCCTTGCGTAATGCTTAAAAAAATACTTTTAACATCTCCACTTAAACTGTGAAATTGTTATACCTGACGTACCTATTCTATTATTAATAGACTCTCCCACACATAATAAGTAATAAGTAGTATTAGCAGTGTCCAGTTTGGCTCAGTGGTGTTGAGCGAGTCAGTCGATATCGCACATTGAAGTACCAACCATCACAACTAGATTGCTGCGTCATTAACTCTTATATCCAAGTTCCTAACGTTTTGTACGTCGAACCTAATTTAGGACGACTTGATGAAATACAAGCCTCCACTGTGAAAACTACTCTACAACAGAAATTATATTTATTTTTCTTCCTGAATAAGAGTAGATAATTTTCAAATAATTTTCAGTCGATATCGG